CATATTTAGGGTCCCCAGTCAGAGCCTCCAGTCTCTTGTGTAAAGTTTGGTTGGGCAATGCTCAGTGACCCATTCCAGCATCTACCATCCCACCTGGGAAAAGGTGGTCACTGAAATAACTATGGCAACTGTTCTTTTATCCAATCGGGTGAGGCCCTTGCAAACGTGGATCTTGTTCTGAAGTTCTCTAATTTCATGTTTGAAGCACAAAGCTTGGACCTTGGCTGAGCAAACAACCTCAAGAGGCACTATGGCAACCTTGGCTTCCATCAAATTGTTCTTCCAAGAGAGTGGATGTGGATGCCCAATGCCTTGTTGTAGCTCCTTTGAGTACGAGGTGATTCCAAAGAATCATTTGCTGTTTGACCCAAAGGAACATGACTGCCAGAGGGAAGAAAGGCAATTGAGCTGAGAAGAGCAGTATTTAAAGACCAAGGCAGGAAATGAAGCAGTGAACAGCTGCTAGAGCAGCAGCCCCTGCACATGATGAGCAAAGTACCTGACCATTGGCACATCAGTGGCCAGCTCTGTTGAATTCCCTGTTATAATTCTGGTTTCTCTCACTCAGGTCGTCGATTTGGAATTGGGCAGCCAATTCTGTGTTTACCTTGGTAGTAACACTCCCGCACATGCAACAGTGTCAGGAAGTGAGTATTGCTACGAGCAGGACACTGGGTGGAGGAACGTATTATCAATCCTGTAATAGATAAAAGAACAACAATCCTGAACCCTCACATTCATTTTTTGGCTTTCCTGAGAGAACTTAGAATTGTGGGTAACCTTGAGGAAGGAAGGAAACAAGCTTTGCTAAAGCTGGGCTCATTTTCAGCTGTCAGTGGAAAAACACAAAGCTGCACCAGTCTCTGCTGAAAGTCTCAAGCTCGGCCAGTAGTTGTTTTCCAGCTTCTTGTTACCTTTGAAATCCAAACATTTTCGATTTCTTCCTTTCTGCTGTGCCAGCGTGACGGAGCTAAGTGAGAGAGTTTGCCCCATGAAGGTGCCGCAATCATGCACTGTGTCGCCACCGGACATGCAGCTGGCGAATGTGCAGGGCGCCTGCAGCCGAGGGGCCCGAGCGTGCTTTTGAAAACGTGATCATAGCCACTTTCAGTTCGTCTTGCCTTAAATCAGTGGAGAAAAAGAGGCAGCTGATACTCCGCTTGTAAGGGACAGTAACACCATAATAAATCACTTTTTTTTCTGTGCCAGTTTTCTACCTTGCCCTAATTTCATAGATGAAATCACATGTGTAAAACTGACTTTGCAATTTAGCTCTGAAGTCCAGAAAGGCTACCCAGGGAGCACCGTGCCTTTTTTTATACTTATTCCCTGATATGTTAAATCACCTAGAAAGCTGAAGGAAAAAGCTCCCCGGCCTGCGCAAGTGCAAAGAGGGTGCCTCTGAAGGATAGCCCACCATTCTAAAGCTGAAAGAAAGTGGAAGGCCTAGGAGTAATAATAATAACAAGTATTATCTTTCTGTTTTTAACCTCAGATGCAGTGAGTTGATTAATTACACTCCTCAGCTCATGGCACATTTTTATTGTTACTCCTTCCAATTCCTACTTTTGTTTCGTATATTTATTTAGATTCCATTCCAGCTTATGGACTTAACCCCCCCTCCAGCCACTACCCCATAGGTAACCGTTCGAGTATGTTTAATGTACATGTATTTATTTGTATGTGTTCTTACAAATTGTGTAAGCCTATATTATCAATTTACATAATGGTACTGTGTTACATATCTTTCCCTTTCCTTTTTTACTCAGGTCGGTTTTTAAGATCCAACTTTGTTGCTGTGTGTATATTGAGTCCATTGATTCTAATTGCCACAGAATACTCCATGACTCTAATCTCTTCATTAGGTGATTACTACATGCCAGATTCAGTACTAAGTGATTTAGGCATATTGATAACTTGGATTACCAATAACATTGAGAGTGTGAAGCATTTGTGTTCATCAAAAGGGATGTGAGTTTCTCAGAAGGCCTAAGAGACCTGGCTCTCCAGAGGTATTTTCTTTCTTTCCTTTCCTTCCTTCCT